TCCTTATGTCTTCCGGAACATCAAACCGTGATTTGGCAACGTAGAACTCCAGCCTCGGTATCTGCTTTGCGTCTGCCTTGATGTAGGTTTCGTCATCCATAACCACACACATCGGTTTCGTTAACCACTCTCAATACAGCTTCCTTGCGCGGGATTTGGCCGACGTGTTCTGTTGATCACGCCGGTTCGGTGCCTTCCGGACCTTGAATACACGAAGCCCAGCTCGTTTCATGGTTTGCTGAACGAACCAGGCGGAACACTATGCCTTCAGAGCCGCGTCGCGAATCGAAAGGTTCGGATTACGCTTGAAATAATCCAACACCTTCCGGGGCTTCACAGTGCCAGCTGTCTTCGATTTTCTTCCACTTCCAGCCCGCTGCTCGGTCGTCTGGGACTCCTTAAAGGATTTTACCACCCGAGACACAGTTGTATGGGTGATTCCCAGTTGTCCTCCGATCCATCTCATGGTCGCAGTAGGATTTTCCATGACGGCGCACAAAATTCTCCGGCGATTTTCTTCTTGACATCTCAATAACCACTGAACCGATAGCTATGAAATTTTGCACATGTAAACAATTCACTCCAAACTAGTTATACCCAGATTTTCATCAATTTTTACCCACGGATAAAAAAGTTACACACGGATAAAAATGGTGCATTTTTTTTCGATTACAAGCCTTATTCATCAATGATTACGAGCAAATGTAACATTAGGCTTTCCCTCAATTAAAAAAATAAAATAAAAGTAATATGTACAAGTATTCGGCCAAATGGCGTCGAGTATGCGAGGAACTGAGCACTTCTTCTTTTAGCCTATCGATATCCTAAAGCATGGATAAAGCATAGGCCTGATAATCGCAACGTCCGTGGTTCGAGTCTCCCGCCAGTCGGTACTTATTTTTCGACATGATTCATTTCAATAATACTCACATTTATACATATACAAACACATTTTTTTTTCTCCATTTTATTGCATTGGACCGCAGTTCGGTATATCGCATCTTCGGTTCATGCGGTCTCCACTGACATCCTCTGATGATGAATCAATACACTATGAATAAGATTTACTCATATTTTCAGGCTTTTTAATCAAAAGTTAAAGTTAAAGAAAACGTTAAAAAGTTTCTTAGTATATCAAAGATCATACTCTGAAAAATTTCCTTGATTCTGGTCACGTACATAAATAATGATACAATTTGAAAGGGACCGGGGCTAGTCACAAATTACGTCCCTACGGTAACTGAAATAAACACGAGTGTTCACCGGTTGGTGTTACTGTTGTGCCTTTGTATAAGTGTTGTACTCTTTTTGTGTATTTTGTATCTAGGCGTTCTGTTTGTAGTGAATTCAAAACTCAAATGTGTTTATTTGTATCGAAAAATAGCCGTTATCAAGATTTTAGGGGTATTTCGGTTTTTCAAATCCTAAAAATCATCGTTTATCCACCAGGCAGGTGTATATAACTTTTGTTTCACAGGTCAATCTAATTTTTGATAATATCTAGATAATAAATTAAGCCCATGACGCGTTCATCTCGATAAAATTGATAAATAGCAGATTTTTAGCGATGAGCCCAATCTTAGCTCCATAGGCCAACATTAGAACCATTTCCCCTATGGCATATGAGTTCTGGGTAATTTTGCCGAATGCAATTTGACCAAATTAGTTACAAATTGATAAACGAAAGAACTACTGATTTAAACATGACAAAAGTCCACATATAACTAGAACATCGAAACTCATGCCAATTACAAAACTAAAAATAGCAGCTCAAAACAATTAAAATAATAATTAATATATAGAAAGTATAAAATTTCTGTTACATACAATATAGAATTTAGAAAAATCTCCTATCTTCATAATAAAAAAAAAAACAAAATTGTGGAAAAATTAAAAGAAATAATCGTAAAATTACTACTTAGAATTACTCCAAAAAGCAATTTGGATATACTCAGGTAGTAGTGTTCGTGTAAATTCTCTTTTCAAGTATTCGACCAAATGGCCGAACACCGTCATATGAGATATCAACAATGGTGATCGGATAAGTCTCTCGGAGATACTTTTCCTAGATTGGTACACTGACGCACATAATTAACTATAAAATATCATGAAATAAAATTGGGTTCTTTAAGAGTTGAGGTAAATGCATATTCGCAATCTGCATTAAAAATGGAACCCAAACCCAAAATTTCATCGATTTTGGTACACTGGAACTATTTTAAATAAGTACGATTACATTTGCAAAAATCACCTTATTAGCGCCCCTCGGTGTCCCTTTGTATGGGAGCGAGCTGTCAGTTTGTTGGTTTAGTGTCAAACAGTGAAGTTTTTATTTTGTTTTAAATCTTGATTTAAAAATCGAGATGAAAGTGTGTGGGTTTGAAAAAATATCGCTGTGACTTCGAAAACGAAGCTCTTTCAGATGATGTATAAAAAACGATAAATTTTTCAAAATTAAAGAACCCAATTATTCTTCCTATTATATCTCCGGATCCGGAAGTCAGATCGACATAAAATCCTGTCCAATGAAGTCTTTTAAACGAGATATCAACCATCTTGATCGGACAAGACATCTAGAAGAAAGCTTTCATATATTAGCACGCGTCCACAGAGGCTCATAAAGGCTGACTAAAAATAAATTGGAACGCCCCTCGCGCGCCGCTAGCACGTCTCTAGTGTTGGAACAACTGGTGCAAGTTTGATCAAAGCAGTCGATCGCGAATATTGTGCACACACACCTGGAAAATCCAGAGTGGTCAAGCCTGGAAGCTGGCTAAACTGCTGAAGATGCCGAAATCAACAGTTTATCGAGTGCTCAAAACCTACAAGGAAACCCTGAGTGTGGAAAGGAATCAGCGGACTTACGAAAAAACTGGAACCAGGGAACAACTGCAACTTTCAAACGGTGCGGAACATCCTTGCCAGGGAAGGATACAAGTCGTACACGGCCAGTAAACATCCCAACCTGCACATGAAGCAGAATTCCATGGCTTCCCGGTCAAAAGTTTTACATCGCGACTGGACGTGGGGATGTGCCAAGTTTACATCGAAGAATGCCTGAAAAAGCGTCACCTTTGTCATTGACGCACGACAAGATACATTAAAAAATGGTCATTCTGGAAAATTCTTGGATCCCAAAATTGCGTCGGACATCGATTTTCGGTAGCTTCCAGTCGTTTCCGTTCCAAAAATACCCATCACTAGAAATCACTTCAGTGTTCACTCGGCTGTCGACAAAAGCAGGCCACTCTCGATGTGTGCTACGCGATCGTCTGTTTTCTCGGCCGCAACCATTGTGTGGTCCTCCTCATTGTTCTTCATCAGCAGTTCTTTCGGTCGATGCGTCGTCGACTTTGGAAAGCAACCGTTTCGTGATGAGTGTATGAGTGCTGACCACGTTTTGCGTCCATTGCTGCAATGGACGCGCTCTGACCCTCGTTGGCGTACAACAATTTGCCATACAATGAAATTACTGGAAGCGGCTCCTGTTCTGATGGAGGAGGCTTTTTGGATAGCGGAAGATAAAGTGTTTATTGTGTTGTACCTTTTGACTATAGTTTTAAGATGTATTGTATAGTGACCAAGAATCCTCGGCTCTGTAAAGTTAATTCGGTTGAGCCTTATCAAATAAACTAATAAACAAAAAAAAAAAGAAATCACTTAGATACTTGCAAATACGGCGCCAAGATTCGAGCTATCGTTCGAGTCAGAGGTGAAATCCCGTCAAAACAACACAATTCCAGTTATGTCAATCTTGTTATGTCTCGTATGCAAAGTGACATGCATTTAGGGGCTGTCCATAAACTACGTAGACAGTTTAGGGGGGGGGGGTTGACAATTAGCCATGGCCCATACAAATTTTAATATTTTTGTATGGACAATTGTCTACGCAGGGGGAGGGGGGGTCAATAATCCCAAAAAAACTGTCTACGTAGTTTATGAACAGCCCCTTACTAGAAAACGAACAGAGGCAGTTTTGTCGCGACAGAATGGAAGAATGACATGACAGACTTTTTTCGTCAATAACCATGTCAACAGTTTCCGTCAATCTTGTCGTCCGACGTACGTGAAACAACTAAGTCGTTCTGGAAAACGTCACGCAGCAGATGTCGTGGCCAAATGAGAGAAAGGCAAGAATAGAAAATGTTTCGTTGAGAGACAGCCCAGTAGATCAGCCTTTCAAGCAGAAGTTTGTTGCATCGTGCTTGTCAGGATGAACGTTGACTTTTTGTTGTTGTCTTTGCTACATAGTTTATTGTCATGAGGTTGACAATTCCCAAGCCTGATTACCGTTCCTTGCGGATGATGAATAGGCAAAAAGTCATCTTTTGGCCCGATTTAGGCAGCTGCCACTACTCCAAAGTGGTGCTGGAATGGTATGCTGCCAACAAGATCGATTTTGTCCCCAAGCTAATGAATCCTCCGAATTGCCCGGAGTTTCGACCAATCGCAAAATACTGGGCAATTTCAGAGCAGTGACTTCGACGAAGCGGCAAGGCAGTCAAAGACATCCAGCAAATGCAGGCAAAATGGAATAAATGCGCTGATTCCATGTCCGTTTCCACTGTGCGGGCGCTGATGGGTTCCATCATGAGGAAGGTTCGAGATTTCGTTCGAACTGGAGAAATGTAACCATCTAATGCTGTAACTTTGAAGTTTTAATAAAAGTACAGCAACCGTTAATGGATTTTTTAAACTTAATGAATCACGAATTACAGGTCTTTTTGTGCGTACCAATTTACCTTTAGTCAGCCTTAGCTAAGTCGATTTCTTATATATTTGGTTCTACGATGTCGCAATCAAACTGTCGAGTTAAAGAGGATCAAGACCTACCTATTGGGAATGTTTTATACAGGTGAAATAGTTTGGGCGCGTTGCTATTTGTCGCAGACGAAAAGTGATGTTGAAACCGATTTTAAAACCGATTTTAAACCAAATAGCCCGCAAATCGCCATGCTCCAGTGAACCGACCCATAAAAGATCAAAAGCCAACAACTCACCTCCGCTGTTGATTCCGTTCTCGATGAACTTGGATGCGATGTAGAAGTACCGGCTGATGTCGGTCGATGGCTGGTCGGTCAACGGGAAGCCCATGTACCTGAAAGTACAACTAGAATTTCTCAACGGTGGCGGTCTGAACTCATCGCACGCTGTCATGTCACGGACCCGCGATCGGCTGATCGTATCTCAACCGGTAGTCTTATCTAATCTTAGCTTAAGATACGATCGATCCACTCGTTGATCGGTGCTCTGACGGCCATTGCGCCCAGTCAACCAGGTAACAAAAGTGCAAGTGCGAACGAGTTTTTGGTGCAAACAGTTGCCTAATCATCAAGCCAAGCCATAAAGCTACGAAACTACATAAACAAGGAAGATTGAATACAGAGAAACCATTGGCCTACCTAACTCCGGACATGTCCCGGTAATAGCTGTGGCCGGTGTCCACCTGCCCGAAGCGCGTTCCTTCTGCCGTGTTCAGCACGTGTGTGATTCCAATCAATCGTAAATACTGCTTGTTTCTAGCTGACTCCCTGCGGATCGAAAGGAGTAGGTAGGACGGAAAGAAGGGATTAATCACCGGTTTTTTGCTTCGGTTTCGTCGCTGAAGGGTCACTACGACGGGACGACGAGAAAGTACTAATTGATCGCAGTCGATGATTGCTTCAGATTAGTCGTCATGCAAACGTGAAAGTCACGCATCGGCAATGTGATTATTGTGTTATATTGTTCGGTAGGAGCCCAATAAAAAATAACATAAAGTGATTATATTCCAAGTTCTGTTTAGTATTATGGATTTATTATAGGCACACAAAGGTTGGTTATTGCTGTGCAATGAAAGGACGGCACGTGCTGGATGACCTATTTTCATCATCATCACCTTGCAGCATGAACTATGCAAACGTTCCAACATGAATCGGACGGAAATGAACAACGAGTTTTAGACAATCCGTGGAATGCATTTGGATGAGGAAATTAGCTTTGGTTCTTCGTTGGACGGATTTTCATGAACCTGAATACTTTTCATATTTTGATTGTTTTGTTTCCGTTAAGTACTCTTATACTAAGAAATACTCACACATCACCAATGTACAGCCTAGGGTACACTTCATCACAGTCAACGTCATATAATGCACATTCGTTGCGCCGTAGCCCGAGCAGAGGCCGGCAGGGGGTCACTGAGTAGTGCAGAATCCGCTGCAGCTGCCGGCCGGTGGTCTGATCTGCCATCTTGTCGTTATTGCGGTAGTGGGTTAAATACTGAAAGATTGAAGAAATAGAGAAAGTACTTTGAGAATGTGTTGGTACATAGCGGCGTTTTCATTGTCAGAACGATTTTTTTTTGGCAGACTGCTAATCCGCACCTTTTAATTAGAAAAAGTATATTATTTTCTGGCGGTTTCGTGACAACAACGGATTTCATACGGTTGCTAGCTCATGAGGGTAAAGTCGTCTTTCGTTGTTGGTTACCGTCGGTGATGGTCGTGATGAAATTTGTGTTATTTCGAATTCAAGGACAGAGCCGGAGTACCCACGGTTTGCACGAGCAATCAAAGTGGTACGAAATGGGTGTTTCTGTTGGCCTCGGGTGGCTCGTGGCGTGACAAACAAGGGACTTATGTCTCCCAACAGAGAGGGTAGTAATTAGTGATTTGTCGTCGAATGGTATATGGATGGAATAAACTGTCTAGGACAAAGTGATGTCGTTATGCACGAGAGCGTTTTGTGGACACGAGATTCTCGTTTAAACTGTTGCATTTTTAATAAAGAATATTAGATGGGGGTGAGTGAAAGTTGATGAACTTTCCCTATTCTGAAACATCCTTTCTTTCAATGTCAGGTTTTATTATTGTGTAAGTTGAGTGTGTTTTGCTTGTCGAATATTCATAAATTACTCATTATTGCCCATTCCTGAGACTTGGATTGTTTAAACAACGCAGAACAATTTTGTCGAATACCACAATTCTTTTACTTACCAAGTAACAATCCTTGTGACTGGAAGATTTATAATTAATTCATTTTATCATAGCATCTCTTGCAGCTTGTGGCTTTATGAAGGTTTAATGTTGTCGTCATAAAATTATTCTATAAAATTATTTTATGACTGCCAAATCAAAACTCAGGGTTCATAGCTTTAGCGGTAGACATATCTGGCAAACAATATTTTGCTGTAGATAATTTTTTACCGTAATTGATAGGTTCTCTGGTGATTTAAAGACGCTTAACTTGGCTGAAACTTGTTCAATAACATCGTGCATAAAAAAATTCAACATTTGATCTGCCCAGCTCTAAATTGTCACTTTTTCTGCTGGTTTGTAATGATTTTGATGTAATCCCGATCAATAACTGAATTTCTACACACTTAAAAAAACGGTTTAAATTTTATTAAATATTCAAATCAAATCCAACCTTCTCACTCAGATTCAGTATCCCTACAAAAATATATATATAAATAGTAAGATTTGAAGCCTCCGCGCCAATAAAAAATAGAGGCTAGCACGCATTAGGCTCATTTTCGTACAGACTTTTGGACCGATCACCAGCAGCAGGGAGCAAACCAATAGAAAGAGCAAAATCGTGGACAAACAATCCTATGCCAGGCAAGCACGCATCGATCAAGCCTTCATCAGCGCGAAATATCGGTAGTTCAACAGACAACAAATCGACGCCGATAGCAGTTAGTAGTATCCTTTTAAAAAGTATTAACGCGTGTGAAACACAGAAAATCGATGTAAGTTTGTACCTCTTGTTGGTCGCATATACATAAGTCCAGTAATGAGTGTTTTCCTGTCGATAAATATAGCTTGATCACAAGATTGGTTTTTTGGTGATACGATTTGGCGCCGGCACGGTATAGATGGCGGGAAATTACGTGTTGGTGTAGGTGTTCATCGAACGACATCTTCGTGAATTAGTTGTAGCAGTCAACAGTAAACTAGCTAATCTCGCGAGTGAATTGAGCACAAGAAATGAGCTAATCGATCGAATAATTGAAGAACTGGCCAGTGCGCGTGCTTAGTGAAATAGGGATTTAGGCTTAAGCTGTAAATATACACACTACGAAAAAGTCATGTAAATTTTAGAGCCCTGAGACCGACACATGCAAGCGGCCCTTTTGACATAAGAATCAGTTGAAAAGGACGAGAAAATCAATTCAATCAAACGCACTTTTCGTCGAGTTGCATAGGTTTCAGTTTCAGGACACTCATGTTTGTTTATGTTCCATGATTTACGTCAAAGCTGAATTACGTCCCTTGTAAAAATAATAATTTCTAAGTGTGTAGGGGTAAGTCACAAGTAATTATTATTAGCGTTATTTTTCGGCCGATCATGATCCGGTGAATAAAATTTTTGTTTTAGTTTCGCAAAATTCTTATAGTATGTGAGATTGTTTAATTTGATGTTTAATTTTAAAGTGTGTTTCGCTGGAATTTTATGGTGGCGGTAAAACTTCAAAAGTTAATCGGCTGTCTATTTAATCAATTTCGAACCCCCGACTAGTCGGCGTGTTACCGGGCAAAATTGATTTGTACGTAACAGGAGATCAGCATTCAGGGAATCCTGATTGGCGCTTAAGTTGATTTTTTAAATAACTAGATCGGTTAATTCCTTCAAAGTGAGTACCACGAGTTGGTGGAATTCCAGTGCGCCACCTGGAGAACGTTACAGGTTTCGACCAAAAACTAATAAATCTACTCGTTTGGGCAGGGCGCGTTGATTTATTTTTTATTGAAAATCATTTGTCAATATACTTTTTCTCGCCAAAACAAAAGATGTGCCACAGAGTTTTGGGTATTGACACATAACATATGTGAAACTTCATGCATAATAGCTGACTAAAATTTGGCCCCTGTTTTGTTATATCGACACTAAGGACCAATGTCAAAAATGTAAACAATAGCTTCTTTCGTAAATTTCTCGTGATTCAAAGTCAATTCATATAAGCCACCAACTCTATCGGATAGGAGGACTCTCGCTCTATTTACACAATCACACTCGCTCTATTTACACACAATCATCGCTCTATTTACACAGTTTTCATACTCGAGAAATTCGCGGAAAAAGTAATTGTTTACGTTTGCGGCATTGGCCCTTATGAAAGAAAAGCAGATATATGGGTGCATGCAGAGACGCGCGGAGAGAATAACAGTAAAACTGGTTGCACGGCCAACTAAGTTATTTTGTCTGCAAGGTTTGGCAACCCGCTATTTTGTGTTTATTTCGTGTGACTTTTATTTTGCGTGACTGTCGTCTGCTTCAACGTCATGGTAAAACGAATAGTCATTGTTAGAAAAATTCCTTCTGTAAAAATACATCGAAAGAAACGTAACAAAATGTCATTTTCTTCTGGTTTCTCAAAGACAGCGTTGTCAGAGGAAATTGGTTTCAATTCTGTCGGTTTCCCCCAATCAAAGCGTGACGGAAATCTCTCGACTATGTAGCGTGATTAATCTACCCGAATTGACAATTGAATTGTTGTTTAGATGAAAGTCGATTTTAAATTGATTTTTTATATTTCAGCTTTATTTCAAAAACGATTTAGATGCATACGTAGCATAGTTGAAAACTATTAGCAGCTCCGGGTGCAGTTCCTGTTTTGGAAATTGTTGCGAATTTGAACGACGGAACCTATAATCGAATTGATGATGATGTAAAAGATTATAATAGGCATTTAAATCTTACAAATTAATTTATAAACCTCAATATCAATACTCCCCACGCTTTTTCTCTTCAAGTGCTTGTGTTTATTTACATGGCGTATCAGAACAACCGAAATTTGAGTTTAGTTCACTCATAATGGCCAAAAGTACAGGATCTCAGCGATGAGTAAATTTGCCTTTTGGTTTTCTGTGGAAAACCTGAAAAATCTGCCGGTAAATGAGGAAATTGACGAAAATTTTATTTAGTCTAGAAGTACAGCTATCCCCCGAAGAACGCGTTACCCACTGAGTTGCACCCACCGCTTTTTTTCGGCGAGGTTTCAACCAGTCCGTTTGATTTTTTGCATGCGAGTAGTGCCAATGGAGAACTAGTCACTCGCGGAAAATCAGAGCGCTTGGTTGAAAACCCACCGAGACAAAGCGGTGGGTAGAACTCAATGGGTAACGCGTTCTTCGGGGAAAGCTGTTGTACCAATAGACTGAGTGAATCCAATCTTTACCTTTCTCATATTCGGAAGTTCTTTCCTGGAAAAACCTGAGAAAACATGAGGAAAATTTACTCATCGCTGAGTTCCTGCACTTTATGTGATTTATGAGTGAACTGAACTCAAATTTGTGTCGTTCTCATTCGTCGTATACATTTCTCGATTGGAACCGCGTTTGATGGTTCGATTGGAACTTTTGGTTTCAGTCTTCACGTGTGTCTTATTTAACATACAGCTTTCCCCCGAAGAACGCGTTATCCACTGAGTTCTACCCACCGCTTTGTCTCGGTGGATTTTCAACCAAGCGCTCTGATTTTCTGCGAGTGACTAGTTCTTCATTGGCACTACTCCCATGCAAAAAATCAGACCGACTGGTTGAAACCCCGTCGAGAAAAAGCGGTGGGTGCAACTCAGTGGGTAACGCGTTCTTCGGGGGATAGCTGTAGTCTCTGGCTGCATGCTCAGTAAGCATTGGCGTTGACGGCGACTCTGCAACTCTTTACTACTATGGTTAAATCCCATAAGCATCTGACAATCTTTGCATTTCATTCCACCATGGTACCAGCAAGCCTCCGTATCTTCACCAGTCTTGTGAGCGGTCATCGCAGTCGACACATTTTCTGTGATAATCCACTGCCTTTGCTTCCGACACTTGTAAACAACCTATCAAATCAGGCGTAACATTTGATAATGACACAAAATCTTTTGTAAACAAACTTTGTAAGGTCCTTTGCACGCGAACCGAAGTACACCCACGAAAACAAATAACATCATCGGGTAGGGGCAACTCTCACCTTTTCGAAAGTGGTATTGGTTTGCGTAGGTGTACTTTGGTTCACGTGCAAAGGACCTTACAAAGTTTGTTTACAAAAGCTTTTGTGCCGTTATCAAATGTTACGCCTGAAATAACAGTACCAAACTAAAATTTCATATGACACTGTCGTCGGAGACCGTCACAAATTAATGTATTTTAGTTTTTCTCATAATAAGAGTTCCTACTTGCTCAAGGAACATTATTGTATATTAGGTAATACCAGAAAGGCGCAAGGAATCCTCAAGGCAGTTTGGCAAAATTGTAGGATATTTTTTATTAACCTCAGATAGTCTCTTCGAA